AAAAAAAAAAAAAAAAAAAAAAAAAAAAAAAAAAAAAAAAAAAAAACATTCCGACAATAACCTCAAAATCTAGAAAAACGAGAAAAAAAAAATTGAGTTTGAAAAATCTTTTGACCCGAACAACTTGAATAGAATTCACAATCCAACCTAAATATCTATTTTCCGGTTTGGTTGTCAGAATGCTTTTTATTTTTCTAATTATTTTAAAGAAATCATATTTATCCACAATACATGTTAACGTGATAACTAAAACTTCCTAAAATTAAAATATCAAATATTTACGAGTCAAAATTCATCAATAACCTCAACTGTAGCGTTAGATTGTAACCCTATTTTCGAATTGGTCGTGGGACAAGTCCGATTTTTTATTTTTCATTTTGAAAAAATGTTCACAAATGATTATAAAAAAAAAAAAAAAATATAAAGCACAAAATTATTTTAATTTATAAAATAAGAGAAAACAAGAAATAATAAATAATAATCAATAAAAGAATATTATTACACGGATTCTTAGTGATGGGTTGAAATTCTTTATAATTATATGTTATAGATCTGATGGATTATCAAAATTTAAATTCGGGTTCATCAGGTTATCGAATCATATGAACGGAGCAAAAAAATCTCAAAACAAAACAAGAATTTAAGAGATCTAAACAAAATCAAACACAAGAAATCAAAACCCAGAAAGAATCAAATACGATAGGAACCATTATAGCTTGAATCAAACTATCCTGACAAGAGAATTATTAGAATCGATGAACTTTCAGAGAGAGAGCGAACCGAGATGAAGAAGGGCGAGTTCTCTTAGGGTTAGGGTTGTCATCATCATTAGGAAGCATCTTGGCCTTGCCCTTGCCCTTGGCATCCATTTTGATATCTATGTCTCTTCAATCTGATACTCACTCCCTGAAATTTGAAGGAGTGATGTGGTGAAAGAGGGAGAGAGAGAGGAGGAGAGGGAGAATTTATGACTGATGATCATCGTTTAGAGATAGAGAGAGAGAGAGCTAGAGAGAGAGTGGGAGCTTAGAAATTGTTGAGAAACTTTCAAACAACTTACAATATGAACAAATATGAACAACCCTTCTGGTCTTCTCTTTTCGGCTTCCGGATAAAATAATATTCTTACACGGTTTAAAATTTTTGAAAGTAGCACTAACACTATTTACTGTTTTGAAAAAATAAAAAAAAACTCTTATTGTCAATTATGAAGGATAACTATTTCTTGTGATAGCGGGACAACAGATGTGCAGCACTTGTTCTAATCGAGCAAATAAGTCAGTCTAGAGAAATTTGGACGTTGGTGTATGTGCAGGTCTCGAGTCACGTTACGAGAAAAGGTTTAGAAATTGTGAGCAAGAAAATACATTGGAAACATGTTGAAGAATTGAAAAAATAAACGTTATATGACGGCTTAAATAACATATAACTCAGGGGTATATGACTAGTTGTCACTTATAAATATGTTTTATGTGGTACTAACAATAAAGATATTTTAGAATTTTTTTAAAAAAAGTTTAAACTTGTTTTTTTAAAATTTTTTGGATATTAACGAAATTTTAAAAAACTCGAGCGTATTTTTGAAACACTGTCGAAAATTAAATTGTATTTTTTTATACCATTCCGTTTGTTTTTTTTATACATTATTAAAACTTTTGAAAGTCCATTTATTTGATATTTAATTACAAATTAGTTCATAATTAATCGTTAGCCTACCTAACGAATAATATGTGTCGTTTAATTAATGTAATTAGACTATGTCAATATGTATTTTTTATTTCTGATACCGAGTGACAAATTATGGATATATTTTAAACTTTTATGGCCCATTAAACATTAAATTCAAATTTTGATGGTCAATTATTTTTAAAATCTCGAAATTCTTTCGTTAAACGTTTTGAATCAAATATCAGAAAATTAGATAATTAGGTTCGATATGGATGCTATTATATTCAAATAATTTTATTACAATAATTAATTTTAGATAATTATTGGATTTAATTAACTTAACATTAATAAAAATAAAATTTAACCAATTAAATAGCACAAGAATTAATTATGTATTTAAATTTTTTATAGCAAGAATTCAATATCTTTTCAAAACTATTAGATTCCATTTCACACATTATATATTTATTTTTTTAACTTTATTTGGTTGGGTCCCACCTAGAACCTAAGACCTAAGACAAACTTCCTCCCCAAGTTTTGTATATCTATATGGGAGGCATTCGATACATACATACATACATACATACATACATACATACATACATACATACATACATACATACATACATACATACATACATACATACATACATACATACATAGGAGTGGGATATATACACAAATGGGGATAGAATAAATGTAATGACCCTAAATTTTTACTTATTTAATATAAGGTCATTATTATACTTCAAACCGAGAATCTATTTTAAATGGGCTCTTATTGTAACTGTCACATAAGTTTGTCTTTTATTACCACATGAAAATGAATAGGAGGGAAAGAAAGGAATAACAACTCTGAAATAAATGTTCTATATCGACTTATGATTTATTAATCATACAAACGAGAATTCAACCTATACTAACGTATACTATGAATGTAAATGAAATTCAACCTATACTAACCTATACTACGAATGGAAAACAACTATCTTATGCATGTGTCATGATCCCGAGATGTGATGGGCTGTAGGGTTTTGGTTGCGGTAGGCTGGGCTGAACTCTGTTGTTGGGCCGCGGTTTGTTTCGGTGGGCCAAGGGTTGAATCATTGGGTCAAGAGGGTTTTGGATCGCGGGTCGGAGATCAGGTCGGACTTCGTCTTCCTCGCCCGATTACCAGAAAGTTTTTCCCGGCGACTCTCTCTCTCTCCTCGATCACATCGTTTCGACGTCCTTTTTCCTCCATTTCTGAGTCTCCTCCTCCCCCTAATCCCGTTTATGGTGTTTGTTTGGTTCGAAGGCCTAACACTCGGATCTAAGAGGGTCTAAAAATCCGATGTTCTGTCTTCCTTCCCCGACGGTGTACAACATGTAAGCAATGTCGAAATCTATCTTTAGTGTATGTAAAGGTCTTTGGGATTATTTTTGTAGTATAGACCAGAGGTTTTGAAGTCGATTTCGTATGGTTTGGCTTCGCCGGAGCGTCGTCGGTTTCTTCCTCAAACTCTCACTTCCTTGCAGGCAGTTTGGCTGAGGGGTGGGGTCTGTTGTTGTGGTGACCCCCGAAGTTTGGTGACCCCTCGGAGTTTTCAGTCTCGCCTACGACCGCGGATTATTATTATTATTATTATTATTATTTTTATCTGATCCATTACAATAGGAATTACAACACGAGTAAGAAATTGGGTAAGGTAAGGAAGAGAGAATATAATCACGGTCTCTTCCCCGTTTAGTCAAAAAGAAGAAATCTCTCATCACTCCCTCTTCCATTTCCCGTCTAAACAAGGATTCCTCGCCATGTTTGAGGTAGGCCTCCACAATTTAAATTTACATTTGTAATATCTGAAAAAAATTTATCAAAATGAATTGACAAATTTTAGTAGGTAATGATTTAGTTTGTGTTGTTTATAAACATAGGTTCGGTAGGTAATTTATTGATCTATATAGGAAATAATATTTCATTAAATTAGAACTTAGAATTGTTGAATGATGAAAGTTCTACATCGACTAATTTAGGAAATGATCAAAGAATACTCTCTTCATTGGAATGAGACCTTTTTGAGAAGCCCAAAGTAAAGTCATGAGAACATAGGCTCAAAGTCGACAATATCATACTATTATGGAGATTCATTATAACGTGTTTAAAATAATTATAAAATAATTAAGAATCCTTCCACCCATACTAAAGGTTGATTAGATAGTTGTTTGTTAGTTTATTCCTATTATAAACGATTTTCACCTGACCCACAAATATTTTATAAGATTTTGTTCGATTCGGGTCAATTCAAAACGCGAACAGAACCTATTCAATTCTAAAAAATTAACCCAACCTAACCTAACCTAACTCGAAATGCTATCTAATCCAACTCAACTCCAATAATTTAAGTTGGGTCGGTTTGAATTTTCGAGTTCAATACATACCCCTTCTTTTGATATCTGTAACGACCCTCTTTTTTTCTCGAACATCCTTCCAACTCGACATCTACAATTATTTGAGTAGTCAAAATTTTCACCAAAAGAAAGTGTGTTCCACGTTTGGTTTTGTTTTTTTTCCCAAAAGAAAGTTGTCCACTTTCCTCGCCTTGTAACACAAGTTTGAAGCCACCCATGTAAGCCTTTGACTTTTCAACCTCAATTTGACAATTTATTTTTTCTTTTAATTGTTTTTTCAATATTCAAAATTGACTCGTGTCGGATAAACATCACATACTTAGGTTAAAGTTAGGATTAAACAAAAATAATATTGAATTATTCTCATCTTAATAAGTTATTTTCACAAATATATTTACCATATTACCCTCGCCACCCGACTTTCAAAAATAATATTAAAAAATTAAGAGAGAGTTAATATTATTTTTAAAATTTCATTGATATTTTTAAAATACAGTACTAACCGAAGAGGTATTTTTTTAATTTTTTAAACAAATAAAAGGGTATTAATGAAAAACGGTATTTTTGAAACACGGTCAAAAGTTCATAAATATTTTAAAAACAAAATACTAACCGTTTCCATCCAAAACTAAGGGAAAACTATTTTTTAAAACTTTTATGAAAGGGGCATTATTTAAATGTTTGAATGTGATATCGTACATTAGTTGGGGAGGAGAACAAAACACAGTTTATAAGGGAATGTGATATCGGACATTAGTTGGCAAGGAGAACAAAACACAATTTATAAGGGTGTGGAAATCTTCCCCTAACAGACACGTTTTAAAAACCTTGAGGAAAGCCTGTAAGGAAAAGTCCAAAGAGAACAATATTTGATAGTGGTGGGCGAAATTTAGTTATATTTAGGGATGTTGATGAATCATGTATGTTAACTATGATAGATATTTCGAATATACGTATGTATGTCTCATAGGAGCATTATGTCATGAAAGGAATGGAAGTATGATTTGCATGATAATTATATAACACGATATGAAACTATGAGACCTCATGCATGTTGTATGACATGAGTATTGAGATACTTCTCCATTATAATTAATACAGATGCGTACATCGTGATATGATACGTACTTTATTCCCGATGTGGCTTTCTGCAACATGAGTGTACTCTAGCTTGTAGTCTCTAGAGATACGTATATGAATCTGCTTGATAGATTTTATATGCGTGTCTATGAATCGTGTGTAGAAAAGTACTATACATCAAACTATGCTTGAACTAAAGACTATCAATATATATAAATATAATATATATTTTTTTATTATATTTCCCACTAAAACTTTTAATGGATAGTTTCATTAGTTTAGTGCTTCAAAACGTAAAAGCATAAAAGCGACAAGTGTGAAATTAGTAAACAATAATTAATATGCTTTTTATTTTCCCAACGTTTTATTCTATGTTTTATATATATATATATACACATACACATATATACGCCAAAATTAATTTAAGAAACACCTAAAATTTATATTTATTTAAAAAAAAATTTAATAATACATTTAAAATTTGAAAAATATATAAAAAAAATACTAGTAACATTAGATTTGAGTTGGAATAGTTAGTAATTTATTTCAAAATTACCGTTGATCTTGATCTTTTTGTTTGAGAAATACTATTTTTACACGACTAATTTGTTGGTTGAGTTAAAACAATTGTAGCAATATCGTCGTCCAACTCTCAAAAAGAGTACGATTAGCGATTATAATATAGTGCCCTTAATACAAAAATCCAATAAAATAATAAGATTCTCACCAAACTAGATACAAAAATTTAAGCGGTCAAAATAACCAAATAAACAAAAAAATTATCACGTGTACTATCACTCTTGTAATTATTGTCACGTGTCATTTTCTAATTGGTCCACTCGTGCCACGTTATGGCCCC